CGCTCACTCGCTCGCCCACCCACTCACCTGCTCGCTCGCCCACCCGCTCGCCCACTCGCTCACCCGCTCGCCCACCCACTCGCTTGCTCACCCACTCGCTCACACACCCACTCACCCACTCATTCACATACTCACCCACTCGCTCACCCACTCACTCACTCACTCAACCACACACCCACTCACGCACCCACTCACTCACCCACTCACCCACTCACCATGAACTCACCCTTCTCCCCCCACTCCCCCCCCCCCCCCCCAGCCGATTGAGCACCCAGTGCGGACCAATCAGATCCCTCGGCAGATCCCGGTGCAGTCTCTGTACACGCGGCCGCTGCCGGGCACGGTGATGGGCGGCGTGCTGCCGTTCGGCTGCATCTTCATCCAACTCTTCTTCATCCTCAACAGCATCTGGTGACCTTTACACACACACAGACACACACACACAGACACACACACAGACACACACACAGACACACACACACAGACACACACACAGACACACACACACACAGACACACACACACACACAGACACACACAGACACACACACAGACACACACACAGACACACACACACAGACACACACACACAGACACACACACACAGACACACACACACAGACACACACACAGACACACACACACAGACACACACACACACACAGACACACACAGACACACACACACAGACACACACACAGACACACACACAGACACACACACAGACACACACACACACACAGACACACACACACACACACAGACACACACACAGACACACACACAGACACACACACAGACACACACACAGACACAACAACAACAACAACAACAACCGCCATTCGCCACTAAGTGGCGGTGACGTCACCACGATGCTTGTGCCAGGCCAAGTGCACCTTGAGGCCACGTGAAGTGTCGAAAGCCCGCTGGCAGGAGGTCACGGGGCAGACCCAGCAGGTGCCACTGGTCGACTGACCGAGATGACCGAGATGAGTGGCTGATGCACCACCTGTGCCCCCTACTGTGCCAACTTGCTGTGCTTTAGCCACCCGGCGCTCCGCTCGTTGTTGTGAGCGTCGCTCCTCCGCCCTCCGTTGTTGTTGGAGGGCGACTGCCTCCAACTGCCCAGTAGCGTCCTTCACGAGCCTCCTCCACTGAGGCCGATCTTGACACCGCTGGTACCGGTCATCGGCAAGTCCACTCAGCTCCACGTCCTCCTGTACCACATCACTCCATCTCTTCTCTCGCCCATGCCGCGCCCGTTTAGCCCCCTCGATCCGGCCGAACAAAAGCTGTTTAGGCATGCGGTGGCTGGGCATGCGGGCTACATGACCCAGCCAACGCAGCCTTGCCTGCCGGAGGAGCTCACTGATGGGACTTTGCCCAGATCTTTCAAGGATTTGTGAGCTCCTCACACAATCCAGCCTGGTTAAACCCAGGATGGATCGTAGGCAGGCCAGCCTAAATGTTTCCAACCGGCGAAGATGCTCCATTATGGGGGGTCCACGTTTCGCAAGCGTAGAGAAGGGAGGGAATGACTGTGGCCGAGAAGACCTGAAGCTTCGTGCGAAGCGACAGACCAGGTAGCTTCCACACAGCAGCGTTACGCACCCACGCACACACACAGGTCGACTCAGCCTCAAATGAGTACCTGGTGCGGTGTGTAAACATCGCCACTAGGGAGACAAAGGCGGCCGGGCGTGGTGCTGGCCACCCACCCCCTCGTGTGCCGTTGCGGCCTTCATAGGTGCTGCTACTTGCTAACAGCACTTGCCCCTACAGTCTGTTAAGGCTTCACGGGGGATCTTTGTGTGTGTGTGCGTGCGTATGCATGTGTGTGTGTGCGCGTGTGTGTGTGCGTGCCTGCGTGTGTTAGCGTGTGTGTGCGTGCCTGCGTGTGTGTGCGTGCGTGCCTGCGTGTGTGTGCGCGTGTGTGCGTGTGCGCGTGTGTGTGTGTGCGTGCACGTGTGTGTGCGTGTGTGTGTGTGTACGTGTGTGTGTGTGCGCGTGCCTGCGTGTGTGTGTGTGTGCGTGTGCACGTGTGTGTGTGCGCGTGTGTGCGTGTGTGTGTGCATGTGCACGTGTGTGCGTGTGTGTGTGTGCGTGTGCACGTGTGTGTGTGCACGTGTGTGCGTGTGCACGTGTGTGTGTGCACGTGTGTGCGTGTGCACGTGTGCGTGTGCACGTGTGTGTGCGTGCACGTGTGTGTGCGCGTGTGTGCGTGTGCGCGTGTGCGTGTGTGTGCGTGCCTGCGTGTGTGTGTGCGTGCCTGCGTGTGTGTGTGTGTGCGTGTGCACGTGTGTGTGTGCGCGTGTGTGCGTGTGCACGTGTGTGTGTGCGCGTGTGTGCGTGTGCACGTGTGCGTGTGTACGTGTGTGCGTGCACGTGTGTGTGCGCGTGTGTGCGTGTGTGTGTGTGTGCGTGCCTGCGTGTGTGTGCGTGTGTGCGTGTGTGTGTGTGTGTGTGCAGGTCCCACCAGATGTACTACATGTTTGGTTTCCTGTTCCTCGTCTTCATCATCCTCCTCATCACCTGCTCAGAGGCAACCATCTTGCTGTGCTACTTCCACCTGTGTGCAGAGGTGAGTGCAGGCCCCCCCCCCGTGAGTGTGCGTGCGTGTGTGTGTGCAAGTGTGTGTGTGCACGTGTGTGTGTGCACGTGTGTGTGTGTGTGCGCGCGTGTGTGTGTGCACGTGTGTGTGTGTGCACGTGTGTGTGTGTGCACGTGTGTGTGTGTGTGTGTGCACGTGTCTACCTGCGTGTGCACGTGTGTGTGTGCACGTGTGTGTGTGCACGTGTGTACCTGCGTGTACACGTGTGTGCGTGTACACATGTGTGCGTGCGCCGTATGTGATGGTGCTTGCTGTGGTGGTGGTGTTTGCCATGGTGACGGTGGTGGTTACCATGATGGTGGTTGCCATGGTGGTTGGTGGTGATGGTTGCCACGGTGTTGGTTGCCGCGGTGATCACCATGGTGGTGGTGATGGTGGTGGTTGCCGTGGTGGTTGGCGGTGATGGTTGCCACAGTGTTGGTTGCCGTGGTGGTTGCCGTGGTGGTTGGTGGTGAGGGTTGCCACGGTGTTGGTTGCCGTGGTGGTTGCCGTGGTGGTTGCCGTGGTGGTTGGTGGTGATGGTTGCCACGGTGTTGGTTGCCATGGTGGCGGTTTGCCGCGGCAGTGCCGCCGATCTCCGCGGTCGCCTCTGTAACCGCGGTTGTCGTCGCCGCGGTTACGGTGGTTGCGTTGCCAGGACTACCACTGGTGGTGGCGGGCCTTCCTGACGAGCGGCTTCACGGCCGTGTACCTGCTGGCGTACGCGGTGCACTACTTCGTGACCAAGCTCGCCATCGAAGGCATCGCCAGCACCATCCTGTACTTCGGTTACACCCTCATCATGGTGCTCATCTTCTTCCTCTTCACCGGTGAGACACACAGAGACACACAGACACACACAGAGACACACAGAGAGACACACACAGAGAGAGACAGACAGACACACACAGAGACAGACAGACACACACAGAGACACACACGCAGAGACACACACAGAGACACACACACAGAGACACACACACAGAGACACACACACAGAGACACACACACAGAGACACACGCAGAGACACACACGCAGAGACACACACGCAGAGAGACACACACACACAGACACACACGCAGAGAGACACACGCAGAGACACAGAGACACACACACAGAGACACACACGCAGAGACACACACACAGAGACACACACGCAGAGACACACACGCAGAGACACACACAGAGAGACACACACGCAGAGACACACACACAGAGACACACACACAGAGACACACACACAGAGACACACACACAGAGACACACACAGAGACACACACACAGAGACACGCAGAGACACACGCAGAGACACACGCAGAGACACACGCAGAGACACACGCAGAGACACACGCAGAGACACACGCAGAGACACACGCAGAGACACACGCAGAGACACACACACAGAGACACACACACAGAGACACACACACAGAGACACACAGACACACACACAGATAGACAAAGATCCCCCGTATAGCCTTAACAGACTGTCGGGGCAAGTGCTGTTAGCGCTTGTGTGGTTGTTGTGGTGATTGTTGTGTTTTGTGTGGTGGTTGTAGTGGTTGTTGTGTTAATGTGTGGTTGTTGTAGTGGTTGTTGTGTTAATGTGTGGTGGTTGTTGTGGTTGTTGTGTTAATGTGTGGTGGTTGTAGTGGTTGTTGTGTTAATGTGTGGTGGTTGTAGTGGCTGTTGTGTTAATGTGTGGTGGTTGTAGTGGTTGTTGTGTTAATGTGTGGTGGTTGTAGTGGTTGTTGTGTTAATGTGTGGTTGTTGTAGTGGTTGTTGTGTTAATGTGTGGTGGTTGTTGTGGTTGTTGTGTTAATGTGTGGTGGTTGTGGTGGTTGTTGTGTTAATGTGTGGTGGTTGTGGTGGTTGTTGTGTTAATGTGTGGTGGTTGTAGTGGTTGTTGTGTTAATGTGTGGTGGTTGTGGTGGTTGTTGTGTTAATGTGTGGTGGTTGTGGTGGTTGTTGTGTTAATGTGTGGTGGTTGTTGTGGTTGTTGTGTTAATGTGTGGTGGTTGTAGTGGTTGTTGTGTTAATGTGTGGTGGTTGTGGTGGTTGTTGTGTTAATGTGTGGTGGTTGTGGTGGTTGTTGTGTTAATGTGTGGTGGTTGTTGTGTTAATGTGTGGTGGTTGTGGTGGTTGTTGTGTTAATGTGTGGTGGTTGTGGTGGTTGTTGTGTTAATGTGTGGTGGTTGTAGTGGTTGTTGTGTTAATGTGTGGTGGTTGTGGTGGTTGTTGTGTTAATGTGTGGTGGTTGTGGTGGTTGTTGTGTTAATGTGTGGTGGTTGTTGTGGTTGTTGTGTTAATGTGTGGTGGTTGTAGTGGTTGTTGTGTTAATGTGTGGTGGTTGTGGTGGTTGTTGTGTTAATGTGTGGTGGTTGTGGTGGTTGTTGTGTTAATGTGTGGTGGTTGTTGTGTTAATGTGTGGTGGTTGTGGTGGTTGTTGTGTTAATGTGTGGTGGTTGTAGTGGTTGTTGTGTTAATGTGTGGTGGTTGTAGTGGTTGTTGTGTTAATGTGTGGTGGTTGTGGTGGTTGTTGTGTTAATGTGTGGTGGTTGTTGTGGTTGTTGTGTTAATGTGTGGTGGTTGTGGTGGTTGTAGTGTTAATGTGTGGTTGTTGTAATGGTTGTTGTGTTAATGTGTGGTGGTTGTAGTGGTTGTTGTGTTAATGTGTGGTGGTTGTGGTGGTTGTTGCAGGCACCATTGGCTTCTTTGCCTGCTTCTGGTTCGTCACCAAGATCTACGGCGTGGTGAAAGTCGATTGAAGAGAGAACGGCACGCACACGTACACACACACACACGTACACACACACGTACACACACGCGCACGCACACACACACGTACACACACGTGCACGCACACACACGCGCACACACATGCACACGCACGCATGCACACGCACGCACACGCACGCACTTATGCACGCACGCGTATGCACGCACGCGTATGCACGCACACACACACAGACGCACACACAGACACACGCACACACACACACACACCCCCAACTCACACACACGCACGCCTGTACATGGGTGCAAACACGCACAGGCACACGCACGCGCAGACGCACACAGACGTACACTACCGGCACGTCGCGCGTGGGTGTAAATACGTCACGGCGCGCTGTGGTGAATGCAGACCGCACCGGCTGGTGCGTCCGCTCACGTGGTGGGGAGCCGTGGCGCAGCGGTGAGCGCTGCCAACCCCGGCAGGGACCGCGAGTTCCATTCACGCCGTCACCACCATCATCACCGCCATCATCACCGCCACCACCACCGCCATCACCACCACCACCACCGCTATCACCGCCACCACCACCACCGCTGTCATCACCACCACCACCACCGCTATCATCACCACCACCGCTATCATCACCACCACCACCATCATCGCCACCACCGCTATCACCACCACTGCCGCCACCGCCACCACCATCGCTATCACCGCCACCACCACCACCACCGCTATCATCGCCACCACCACCACCGCTATCACCACCACTGCCGCCACCACCACCGCTATCACCGCCACCACCACCACCACCGCTATCACCACCGCTATCACCGCCACCACCACCACCGCTATCATCGCCACCACCACCACCGCTATCACCACCACTGCCACCACCGCCACCACCACCGCTATCACCGCCACCGCCGATGATAGCGATTATCCGAACGAGTCCTGGGCCACCCCTAGGTCGCCTCGGCCTCAAATGAGCATCATCCGGGAGACAAAGGCGGCCGGGCGTGGCGCTGGCCACCCACCCCACCCACCCCACCCCACCCACCCCACCCCACCCACCCCACCCTCGTGTGCCGCGGTGTCGGCAGCCTTCACAGGTGCTGCTCACTCACCGCACTTGCCCCAACAGTCTGCTGCAGGCTACGTGGGGGACCTTTGTCTGTGTTGTGTGTGTGAGATTGTGTGTGATTGTGTGTGTGAGAGATTGTGTGTGTGATTGTGTGATTGTGTGTGATTTGTGTGTGTGTTGTGTGTGTGTGATTTGTGTGTGTGTGATTTGTGTGTGATTGTGTGTGTGTGTGATTTGTGTGTGATTGTGTGTGAGTGTGTGTGATTGTGTGAGTGTGTGAGTGTGTGTGTGTGATTGTGTGAGTGTGTGTGTGTGTGATTGTGTGAGTGTGTGTGTGTGTGATTGTGTGTGTGCGATTGTGTGTGATTGTGTGTGACTATGAAATAATAATGTGTCGGTGTGGTATGAGTGTGTTTGTGAGTTACTGGTGGTGGTCATAGACAGGGGGTGGTGATGATTTGGATGTAGATGTTGGTAGTAGTGGTGGTGATTTGGATTTACTGTCGTTGATGACGGTGGTGATGATGATACTGATGGTCGTGATGATGATGATGATACAGATGGTGATGGTGGTGATACAGGTGATGGTGGTGATGGTGATACAGATGATGATGATGATGGTGGTGATACAGATGGTGATGGTGGTGATACAGGTGATGGTGGTGATACAGGTGATGGTGGTGATACAGGTGATGGTGGTGATACAGTTGATGGTGGTGATGGTGATACAGATGATGATGATGATGGTGGTGGTGATACAGGTGATGGTGGTGATACAGGTGATGGTGATACAGGTGATGGTGGTGATGGTGATGATGGTGGTGGTGGTGATACAGATGGTGATGGTGGTGATGGTGATACAGGTGATGATGGTGGTGGTGATGATGATTGGTGGTGGTGATGATGGTGGTCGTGATGTTGGTTGGTGATAGTGGTGGTGATGGTGGTGATGATGATGGTGATAATGAAGATGGTGGCGATGGTGATGGTGATACAGGTGATGGTGATACAGGTGATGGTGGTGATGGGTGATGGTGGTGATGGTGGTGATGGTGAGAATGAACAGGAGAGCCGCGCTTGCCTGGCTTGCCTGTCAACTCCGCATGCGACGGATCGCACAGACGCACGGGGCGTGATGTGACGTCGTGTGACGAGCCTCATGATCCTAATTTATTTGTACACAGACGACACCCTACACGCAACATGCAACATACAACATGCAACACGCCACACGATCTACACAACACGCGACCACCCCCCACGATGCTCACGTAACACGCGTGTGCGTGCGCGAGCCGGTTGACATCTCTACGTGATACACACACACACACGCTCTCTCGGGGTACTGCTCTATCTGGTATGCGTTGTCGATGAATCTTCTGATTGTTCTTGTTGTTATATAGCGCGGCCGTGCGTGCGAGTCTGTTACCGTCTCTTCGAGGAGGGGGGGGGGGGTGAGCCGTCCACCGGTTGCTGTTCCGTCCGTGCGTGCATCACCACCACCACAACGCCACCACCACAACGCCACCACCACCACAACGCCACCACAACGCCACCACAACGCCACCACAACGCCACCACCACCGCCACAACGCCACCACCACTATAACGCCACCACCGCCACAACGCCACCACCACCACAACGCCACCACCACTATAACGCCACCACCACCACCACAACGCCACCACCGCCGCCACAACGCCACCACCGCCACGACCACCGCCACCACAACGCCACCACCACGCCACCCACCACCGCCGTGTGCCGTTCTGGCCTGCTGCTGCTGCTGCTGCCGCTACTGACAGCACTTAAGTGTATGATAGCGTAGTGTGTAGTGTAGTGTATAATAGTGCAGTGTGTAGTAGCGTGGTGTATAGTAGTGTAGTGTGCGCTGTTATACGCTCCGCTACTATACGCTACGCTGTTTAAACTACGCTGTTATACACTGCTGTATACTACACTGCTGTACACTACACTATACACTACACTATACACTACACTATACACTACGCCCCAAGGGCCCGCCGGGTTCGTAGGCGCGGCGATGCGCTACCCGCTGCGCCACCACTCCCCACACCATCACCACCATCAGCACCATGACCACCACCATCACCACCACCATCATCACCACGATCACCACCATCATCACCACCATCATCATCACCACCACCATCACCACCATCAACACCACCACCATCACCTTCATCACCACCATCACCACCACCATCATCACCTTCATCACCACCAACACCACCATCATCACCACCATCACCACCATCACCACCACCATCACCTTCATCACCACCAACACCACCATCACCACCACCACCACCATCATCACCATCATCACCTTCATCACCACCATCATCACCATCACCACCATCACCACCACCACCATCACCTTCACCACCACCATCATCACCATCATCACCTTCATCACCACCAACACCACCATCATCACCACCATCACCACCATCACCACCACCATCACCTTCATCACCACCAACACCACCACCACCATCACCACCACCACCACCATCATCACCATCATCACCTTCATCACCACCATCATCACCATCACCACCATCACCACCACCACCATCACCTTCACCACCACCATCATCACCATCATCACCTTCATCACCACCAACACCACCATCATCACCACCAACACCACCATCATCACCACCATCACCACCATCACCACCACCATCACCTTCATCACCACCAACACCACCATCATCACCACCATCACCACCATCACCACCACCATCACCTTCATCACCACCAACACCACCATCATCACCACCACCACCACCATCACCACCATCACCACCACCATCATCACCTTCATCACCACCAACACCACCATCATCACCACCATCACCACCATCACCACCACCATCACCTTCATCACCACCAACACCACCATCATCACCACCATCACCACCACCACCATCACCTTCACCATCACCATCATCACCTTCATCACCACCAACACCACCATCATCACCACCAACACCACCATCATCACCACCATCACCACCACCATCACCTTCATCACCACCAACACCACCATCATCACCACCATCACCACCATCACCACCACCATCACCTTCATCACCACCAACACCACCATCATCACCACCACCACCACCATCACCACCACCACCATCACCTTCATCACCACCATCACCACCACCATCATCACCTTCATCACCACCAATACCACCATCATCACCACCATCACCACCATCACCACCACCATCACCTTCATCACCACCAACACCACCATCATCACCACCATCACCACCACCATCACCTTCATCACCACCAACACCACCATCATCACCACCATCACCACCACCACCATCACCTTCATCACCACCATCACCACCACCATCATCACCATCATCACCTTCATCACCACCAACACCACCATCATCACCACCATCACCACCATCACCACCACCATCACCTTCATCACCACCAACACCACCATCATCACCACCATCACCACCACCATCACCTTCATCACCACCAACACCACCATCATCACCACCATCACCACCACCACCATCACCTTCACCACCACCATCATCACCATCATCACCTTCATCACCACCAACACCACCATCATCACCACCATCACCACCATCACCACCACCATCACCTTCATCACCACCAACACCACCATCATCACCACCATCACCACCACCACACACTCGGCATGGGGCCTCTTCACAGCACGTGAGCCCCCCCCAACCCCCTTGACCCAACCCACCCAGCGCAGTGTGCGAGCTACGTGGGTGACCTTTGTCTTTGGATCGCCCCCCCCCCTTCCCCCCGTGGCGTTTCCTGAGAATAAATTTTCGAGTTTTTGGGGTTTCAAAAGGGGATTCCGTTGCCCTCCATTGCAAGGCCAGTGGGCGAGCGGTGTGCGTGGTGGAGATTCAGTTGTGGGAGAAAGGGGGTGATGGGTGGGTGGGTGGATGAGTGAATGGGTGGGTGGATGAGTGGATGGGTGGGTGAGTGGATGGGTGGGTGAGTGGGTGGATGGGTGAGTGGGTGGATGAGTGAATGGGTGGGTGGATGAGTGAATGGGTGGGTGGGTGAGTGGATGGGTGGGTGAGTGGGTGGATGGGTGGCTGAGTGGATGGGTGGGGGAGTGGGTGGATGAGTGAATGGGTGGGTGGATGCGTGGGTGGGTGGCTTAGTGCGTGGGTGGGTGGATGGGTGAGTGGGTGGGTGGATGGGTGAGTGGATGAGTGGGTGAGTTGGTGGATGAGTGAATGGGTGGGTGGGTGAGTGGATGGGTGGGTGAGTGGGTGGATGGGTGGCTGAGTGGATGGGTGGGGGAGTGGGTGGATGAGTGAATGGGTGGGTGGATGCGTGGGTGGGTGGCTTAGTGCGTGGGTGGGTGGATGGGTGAGTGATGGGTGGGTGAGTGGGTGGATGAGTGGGTGGATGAGTGAATGGGTGGGTGGGTGAGTGGATGGGTGGGTGAGTGGGTGGATGGGTGGCTGAGTGGATGGGTGGGGGAGTGGGTGGATGAGTGAATGGGTGGGTGGATGCGTGGGTGGGTGGCTTAGTGCGTGGGTGGGTGGATGGGTGAGTGATGGGTGGGTGAGTGGGTGGGTGGATGGGTGGGTGGGTGAGTGATGGGTGGGTGGATGGGTGAGTGGATGGGTGGCTGAGTGAGTGGGTGGGTGGATGGGTGGCTGAGTGGGTGGGTGGGTGGGTGGCTGAGTGAGTGGATGGGTGAAACGGGCTGGAGAAGAGATGGAGTGACGTGGTACAGGAGGACGTGGAGCTGAGTGGACTTGCCGATGACTGGCACCAGCGGTGTCAAGATCGGCCTTTGTGGAGGAGGCTCGTGAATGACGCTACTGGGCAGTGCCAGGCTAGGTGCACTGTGAGGCTACTGGGCAGTTGGAGGCAGTCGCCCTCCAACAACAACGGAGGGCGGAGGAGCGACGCTCACAACAACGAGCGGAGCGCCGGGTGGCTAAAGCGCAGCAAGTTGGCACAGTAGGGGGCACAGGTGGTGCATCAGCCAGTCATCTCGGTCAGTCGACCCGTGGCACCTGCTGGGTCTGTCCCGTGCAATCGCCCTCCAGCAACAACAACGGAGAGCGGAGGAGCGACGCTCACAACAACGAGCGGAGCGCCGGGTGGCTAAAGCACAGCAAGTTGGTACAGTAGGGGGCACAGGTGGTGCATCAGCCACTCATCTCGGTCATCTCAGTCAGTCGACCCGTGGCACCTGCTGGGTCTGCCCCGTGACCTCCTGCCAGCGGGCGGTCGACACTTCACACAGACACAACAACAACAAACGCCATTCACCACTAAGTGGCGGTGACGTCACCACGACGCTTGTGCCAGGCCATGTGCATCATCCTCATCAGCAGGCAGCAGCCATCATCATCAGCAATCATCATCAGCAATAATCAGCAGCAATCATCAGCAGCAGCAATCATCAGCAATCATCAGTAATCATCATCAGCAGCAATCATCAGTCATCATCATCAGCAATCATCATCAGCAGCCATCATCATCAGCGGTCATCATTATAGGAGGGGGGGTGGGTGTTTCCACCCCCCCCCCGCCCCTCTTCTGCCCCTCATCCAATCAGCGCGCGTCGCAGGGCGCGGCCTCGAACTCGCCGACCAATCGCAGCGCGCCATGCGCACTCATGAATAATTAATCAGCCCCCACCCCTCCCTTCGCGGCGTAAACTGCCCTGGGGGCACGCATTGCGTGGTGGGGCGCGTGATAGAGGTCACGCCGTTGCCCAAGGCGCCCTGAGGGCATTTAGCATTCGCGCAGCGGCTTCCCGCCAATGTCAGCTTGCGAGGGGTGGGTGGGGTTCACTCTGTCCCGCCCACTCCGCCCTCGCCCCGCCCCCTCAGCCTTCGCCCCGCCCTCGTCTCGCCTACTCCGCCCTCGCCCCGCCCACTCCGCCCTCGCCCCGCCCACTCCGCCCTCGCCCCGCCCACTCCCCGTTATCGCCCCGCCCACTTCCCCCTCGCCCCGCCCACTCCCCGTCATCGCCCCGCCCACTTCCCCCTCGCCCCGCCCACTCCCCGCCTTCGCCCCGCCCACTCTGCCCTCGCCCCGCCCACTCTGCCTTCGCCCCGCCCACTCCCCGTCATCGCCCCGCCCACTCCGCCTTCGCCCCGCCCACTTCCCCCTCGCCCCGCCCACTCTGCCCTCGCCCCGCCCACTCCCCGTCCTCGCCCCGCCCCCTCCCCTCCCTGTAAACAAGTCGATGGCGGCGATGGAGTTGGGTGAGAGTTAGCGACGCAAATTCTCCTCACGTCAACAACGACGTCATGTTGTTATTATTGTTGTTGCTATTTTATGTTTTAACGTAGACGCTGTAACGCTGTTCGTGCGGCGGGGGTTTTGTGGGGGTTGTTTTTCTGTGTCGCGCGTGCGTCAAAAAGTTTGATGTGGAAATATATTGACCAAGTGTTTTGTGTGTTTCTAACTCTCTAATCACCTCGCCACCACACCACAGACTCACACTCGTCCACCATCCAGCAGTGGATAAGACCTGTGGCTGACGGTGGTGGTGGTGGTGGTAGTTGTGTTGTTGGTTGATGGTGGTGGTGATGGTTGATGGTGGTGATGGTGGTGGTGATGGTTGATGGTGGTGGTGATGGTTGATGGTGGTGATTGATGGTGGTGATGGTAATGATGGTGGTGGTGATGTTAATGATGGTGGTGGTGATGGTTGATGGTGGTGGTGATGGTTGATGGTAGTGGTGATGGTTGATGGTGATGTTAATGATGGTGGTAATGGTGGTGGTGATGGTTGATGGTAGTGGTGATGGTTGATGGTGGTGGTTGATGGTGGTGATGGTGATGTTAATGATGGTGGTGATGGTGGTGGTGATGGTTGATGGTAGTGGTGATGGTTGATGGTGGTGGTGATGGTTGGTGGTGGTGATGGTGGTGGTGATGGTTGATGGTGGTGATTGATGGTGGTGATGGTGGTGATGGTAATGATGGTGGTGGTGATGTTAATGATGGTGGTAATGGTGGTGGTGATGGTTGATGGTAGTGGTGATGGTTGATGGTGGTGGTTGATGGTGGTGATGGTGATGTTAATGATGGTGGTGATGGTGGTGGTGATGGTTGATGGTAGTGGTGATGGTTGATGGTGGTGGTGATGGTGGTGATGTTAATGATGGTGGTGGTTGATGGTAATGATGGTGGTGATGGTTGATGGTAGTGGTGATGTTAATGATGGTGGTGGTTGATGGTAATGATGGTGGTGATGGTAATGATGGTGGTGGTTGATGGTAATGGTGGTGATAGTAATGATGGTGGTTGATGGTGGTGATGGTGGTGGTGATGGTTGATGGTAGTGGTGATGTTAATGATGGTGGTGGTTGATGGTAGTGGTGATGGTGGTGATGGTAATGATGGTGGTGGTGATGGTTATGATGGTGGTGGTGGTAATTATGGTGGTAATGGTGGTGGTTGATGATGATGATGATGGTGGTGTTGGTGATGATGGTGGTGGTGATGGTTATGATGGTGGTGGTGGTAATTATAGTGGTAATGGTGGTGGTTGATGATGATGATGATGGTGGTGTTGGTGATGATGGTGGTGGTGATGGTAATGATGGTGGTGGTGGTGATGATGATGATGATGCTGGTTAGGGTTATTAGGGTTAGGTTGATGGTGGTGGTGATGGTACTGATGGTGGTGGTGATGATGGCAGTGATGATGATGGAGGTGGTGATGATGATGGCAGTGATGATGGTGGAGGTGATGGTGGTGATGGTGTTGATGGTGATGGTTGATGATGGTGGTGGCTTTGATAGTGTTGATGGTGATGATTGTGGTATTGATGGTGATAGTGTTGGTAGTGGTGGTTGATGTTGATGGTGGTAATGGTGGTGGTGGTGTTGGTAGCTTTGATAGTGTTGATGGTGATGATTGTGGTGTTGATAGTGATAGTGTTGGTAGTGGTGGTTGATGGTGGTAATGGTGGTGATGATGATGGCAGTGATGATGGTGGAGATGATGGTGGTGATGGTGGTGATGATGGTGATGATGGCAGTGATGATGATGGAGTTGATGGGGAGCGGTGGTGCAGCGGTTAGCGCTACGCTGCGCTACGAACCGGGCGACCTGAGTTCGATTCCCGCTCACGACCACCAACACCACCGGTGACGATTATCTGAACCGGTCCTGGGCCTCCCCTAGGTCGACTCAGCCTCAAATGAGTACCTGGTGCGGTGTGTAGTAAACATCGCCACTGGGGAGACAAAGGCGGCCGGGCGTGGTGCTACTGGCTTCCCACTAGGCCTCAGCAAGGTAAGGTAAAAGCTCAAAAGCAACGAGCCTACCTTTACCCTACCTTTTACCCTGACCCCGTACAAAGTAGCCGATTATAGGGTAATTACTGGGGTACTACTACACATGATAAAGGTTTATAACGGTAAATGCTATAGGTAGAGCGCTTTAATCATATAGAATACTCTCGATTATTCCAATTTTACACGCTTTCTATTAACTCACTCTGTCTGTTGTTGTATCCTCAAATCTTGTAACTCAAATTTAACCCACTTCCCAATGTGATATCGACTACAAACTTGGTATACGTACGTCATACTGATGACAATACTATATTATATCATAAAAAATAAAATATAATTTTAAACATTCTTTTTAGACGCTTTCTATTAACTCACTCTGTCGATTGTTGTTGTGGTATCCTCAAATCTTGTAACTTAAATTTAACCCACTTCCCAATGTGGTATCGACTACAAACTTGGTATACTTGTGTCATACTGATGACAATACTATATTATATCATTAAATATCTATATTTTTAATCATTCTTTTTTATATGTTACGTTTCGGCTTGGCTCTAATTGTCCACGGTCAACTGCCGCTGGCTGTAATTGGCCACGGCCCCTTACGTCGTGGCAAACTTCGGGGCCACTTCCTGGAGTCGTGGAGTTCTTCCATTACGAGTACATTTAATAAAAGCGTGTTTTTAATAAAGCTTTCTTAAATATTACTTATTTAATGGAGACCACGGACTGCGCCACGGAGCTTTTAGCGGTAAACAAGGCACCGAATTTACTGGGTAATACTTCGTGCTACCTTTACCCTACCCTTTACCCTACCCCTTACCTTACCCCTTGGCATGTCGACACCTTTACTCTTTTACCCGGTAAAAAGGGTAAATTACCTTGCCTTGCCGAGGCCTACCACCCACCCCCTCGTGTGCCACAGTGCCGGTAGCCTTCACAGGTGCTGCTGCTACTCGCTACTAACAGCACTTGCCCCTACAGCCTGCTAGAGGCTACACGGGGGATCTTTGTCTGTGTATAGGTGCTGCTGCTACTCGCTTCTAACAGCACTTGCCCCTACAGCCTTTTAGAGACTACACGGGGGATCTTTGTCTGTGTATAGGTGCTGCTGCTCGCTACTAACAGCACTTGCCCCTGCAGCCTGCTAGAGGCTACACGGGGGATCTTTGTCTGTGTATAGGTGCTGCTGCTACTCGCTACTAACAGCACTTGCCCCTACAGCCTGTTAGAGGCTACACGGGGGATCTTTGATGGTGGTGATGATGGTGGTGTGTATGTGTGAAAATATATCCGTGTTAGTTTCACTTCAGTCGGTGCTTTAACTTCAAGAGGGGATAGACTCTGGCTGCTGATGATGGAGGCTCGGCCAGGCCTTGATACAGCAGTGGATAGACCCTGGCTGATGATGTAGGGCTGACGCATCAGTGCTTTTGTTGGTCTTATTATTAACCGTAACAAAAACTATGAATGAACCTTTAATAAAATGTTCTTGGTTCTTTCGGTAAAGTCACGTAGAATGGAAATAATAAAATAATAAAAATAAAACATAATAAAATAATTCTCACGACGTTTCGGCCACAACGCAAGCAGCCGTCCTCAGGTGAAGAACAGGGCTGTCGAGAAGACAGAGTCTGAACAGACCTGTTCTTCACCTGAGGACGGCTGCTTGTGTTGTGGCCGAAACGTCGTGAGAATTGTATTTTATTATGTTTTATTATTATTCTTTTATTACTTCCATTCTACGTGACTTTACCGAAAGAACCAAGAAGATGAATCCCTGCAGTCACGAAAGCTTTAAATCGAAACTTAAATAAAATGTTTTATTTTACCCCCGTGTCAGGCTACCATATAGCTCCTGTGAGGTGACCCCCCCTCCCCTCCCCACCCTGGTGATCTCTCATGATCACGTTGACATTTGTAGCAGCTACAAATCCTCCTCTTTGAGAGAGGCTTGTAAGGTGTGTGGGTCTTCCTTGGTACCCACGGGAGGAGGTGTTGTGGACAGACAGCACGCTCAGCACTCTGTGTTTTATGTTTTTATTATTTTATTGTTTCCCTTGTACGTGGCTTTACCGAAAGAACCAATAATATACTCTATTAGCAGTTACAAAGACATTCGGTTTGCATCTAGATTTAATGTCTTATGGCTCATCACTTTATCTCTCATCACTTTATCTCTCATCACTTTATCTCTCGTCACTTTATCTCTCACCGCTTTATCTCTCATCACTTTATCTCTCATCACTTTATCTCTCATCGCTTTATCTCTCATCACTTTATCTCTCATCACTTTATCTCTCATCACTTTATCTCTCGTCACTTTATCTCTCATCACTTTATCTCTCGTCACTTTATCTCTCACCGCTTTATCTCTCATCACTTTATCTCTCATCACTTTATCTCTCATCGCTTTATCTCTCATCACTTTATCTCTCATCACTTTATCTCTCATCACTTTATCTCTCATCGCTTTATCTCTCATCACTTATCTCTCATCACTTTATCTCTCATCACTTATCTCTCATCACTTTATCTCTCATCACTAATCTCTCATGACTTTATCTCTCATCACTTTATCTCTCATCACTTTATCTCTCATCACTTTATCTCTCATCACTTTATCTCTCATCACTTTATCTCTCATCACTTTATCTCTCATCACTTTATCTCTCATCACTTTATCTCTCATCACTTAATCTCTCATCACTTTATCTCTCATCACTTTATCTCTCATCACTTTATCTCTCATCACTTTATCTCTCGGCACTTTATCTCTCGTCGCTTTATCTCTCACCGCTTTATCTCTCTCTGCAGCAGAGTTGTAGAGAGTTCCAGACGTGAATCACGGATAGCCAACGTCGCGGATATCCAAGTTCGTGAATGATGAGGGAATGCTCTAATTGCAAAATGACGCAAAAGCATTATGATGTCATTGGAAGCTGTTGCTGTAATAATCATCGTGATCACAATTCATTGTACTGACCCTAATCCCTGCTATGTCTCTTCCAACCTTTCACCACAATGACTTCCACCACCTCCACCACTTTCACCACCACCACCTCCAACATTACCACCTCCACTACCACCACTACCTCCACCATTACATCCACCACTCCATCTCCACCACCTTCAACACTTCACATCCACCACTTTCACCACCACCTCTACCACCTCCACCATTACCTCCACCACTCCATCTCACCACCTTCACTACACATCCACCACCTCCACCACTTCCACCACCACCTCCACCACTCCATCTCCACCACCTTCACCACTACACATCCACCACCTCCACCACTTCCACCACCACCTCCACCACTCCATCTCCACCACCTTCACCACTACACATCCACCACCTCCACCGCTTCCACCACCACCTCCACCACTCCATCTCCACTATCTTCACTACACATCCACCACCTCCACCGCTTCCACCACCACCTCCACCACTCCATCTCCACCACCTTCACTACACATCCACCACCTCCACCACTTCCACCACCACCTCCACCACTCCATCTCCACCATCTTCACTACACATCCACCACCTCCACCACTTTCACCACCACCTCCACCACTCCATCTCCACCATCTTCACTACACATCCACCACCTCCACCACTTCCACCACCACCTCCACCACTCCATCTCCACCATCTTCACTACACATCCACCACCTCCACCACTTTCACCACCACCTCCACCACTCCATCTCCACCATCTTCACTACACATCCACCACCTCCACCACTTTCACCACCACCTCCACCACTCCATCTCCACCATCTTCACTACACATCCACCACCTCCACCGCTTCCACCACCACCTCCACCACTCCATCTCCACCACCTTCACCACTACACATCCACCACCTCCACCACTTCCACCACCACCTCCACCACTCCATCTCCACCACCTTCACCACTACACATCCACCACCACTTCCACCACCACCTCCACCACTCCATCTCCACCACCTTCACTACACATCCACCACCACTTCCACCACCACCTCCACCACTCCATCTCCACCACCTTCACCACTACACATCCACCACCTCCACCACCTCCACCACCACCTCCACCACTCCATCTCCACCACCTTCACCACTACACATCCACCACCTCCACCACCTCCACCACCACCTCCACCACTCCATCTCCACCACCTTCACTACACATCCACCACCTCCACCGCTTCCACCACCACCTCCACCACTCCATCTCCACCACCTTCACCACTACACATCCACCACCTCCACCACTTTCACCACCACCTCCACCACTCCATCTCCACCACCTTCACCACTACACATCCACCACCTCCACCACTTTCACCACCACCTCCACCACTCCATCTCCACCACCTTCACCACTACACATCCACCACCTCCACCACCTCCACCACCACCTCCACCACTCCATCTCCACCACCTTCACTACACATCCACCACCTCCACCACTTCCACCACCACCTCCACCACTCCATCTCCACCACCTTCACCACTACACATCCACCACCACTTCCACCACCACCTCCACCACTCCATCTCCACCACCTTCACCACTACACATCCACCACCTCCACCACTTTCACCACCACCTCCACCACTCCATCTCCACCACCTTCACCACTACACATCCACCACCTCCACCACTTTCACCACCACCTCCACCACTCCATCTCCACCACCTTCACTACACATCCACCACCTCCACCGCCACTTCACACCACGTTCCCCACCACCGTCAGCCGGTGCGGCCAGTTGACCGGCGTGACATGGCCGGCAACGGCGATGCCGGTGGACCCCCCTGCGGCGCCGGCGGTGCCGGCGGCGGCGACGGCGGTGACGATGGCGGCGGCTGCTGCCGGGAGGACGACGTCGCTAGAGGAGGGGCCCCGCTGGTGCTGGTGCACAGCGGGTACCTGCGCAAGACCAACCGCCTGCGCAGGCAGTTCTTCACCCTGCGGGCACGGCTGAGCGGCGCGGCGCCCGGCTCGACAAGCCGCCGAGACGCTGACACCTCGGCGGCGGGCGCCGGCGGGGGAGGAGGGGTGGTGGTGCCGGTTGGCCGGGCGACCGGGACGACGGCGAGTGGCGACACGGAGGAGGCCGTGTCCAGGGAGCGCATGGAGAGGCTGCTGAGCTGCACGGAGGCGCTGCTCAGAGACACGGAGGCGCTGGTCGGGGGAGACGCGGCGGGGCCGATGGGGAGGGGGGGCGGGGGGGAGGAGGAGGAGGAGGCACCGGCGAGGGGAGACGCCGCTATTTTTGGAACGGGAGGCGCGGAGACGCTGGGAATAGGAGACGGAGAAACACGACCGCGTGGAGAGGCCGATATTTTTGGAATGGGAGGCACGGAGACACCTGGCAGAGGAGACTGGATGACAATCGGCAGAGGAGACACGGAGACACCTGGCAGAGGAGACACGGAGACACTCGGTAGAGGAGACACAGAGACGACGCAGCTCGGAGACACGACGCAGACGCCGGCGTTGGGTGGCGCGGGGGCGCCGGCCGCGCCGGGAATCGCCGCGGAGACCGGGGCCCGGCGGGCCGCCGGTGATGCTCCGCCGGCACGGGACGGCGGCCCCCGGCTGAGCGACGCCGTCCTGGAGTGGCACGACAGTCGGCGCGGCTGGGAGCGGCGGGCCGGCGGGGCGGAGGCCGTCCGGGGCCGCCGCTGCGTGCCGTTGGCGGGCCTGCAGGCGCTGGCGCTGAGGCGGGACGCGCGGGGCCGCGACTCGCTGCTCCTGCTGGCGGCGGACGGCCGCTGCATGTCCCTGACGGGCGCCGGCGGGGAGGAGATGAGGCGGTGGCACCGCTTGGTCGCCGCGGGCGCGGAGCGGCAGCCGGAGTACCGCGACGTGTGGCTCGTCGGCGTCAAGGTGAGTGGGGGCGGTGGTGGTGGTAGTGATGATGGTGGTGGTGGTGGTGGGGAAGTTGGGTGGTGGTGGTGGTGGGAACGGCAGCGGTGGTGGTGGTGGGAACGGTGGTGGCGGCGGTGGTGGTGTTGGTGGGAACGGTGGTGGCGGCGGTGGTGGTGGTGGTGGTGGTGGGAACGGTGGTGGTGGTGGTGGTGGTGAAGTTGGGTGTTGGTGGTAGTGATGATGGTGGCGGCGGTGGTGGTGGTGGGAACGGTGGTGGTGGTGGTGGTGGGAACGGCGGCGGTGGTGGTGGGGAAGTTGGGTGGTGGTGGTGGTGGTGATGGTGATGGTAGTGGTGGTGGTAGTGGTGAAGTTGGATGGAGGTGGTGGTGGTGGGGGCAGTGGTGGTTGTATATGTGATGGTAGTGTTGGTGGTAAAGTTGGGTGGTGGTGGTAGTGATGATGGTGGTGGTAGTGGTGGTGAAGTTGGATGGAGGTGGTGGTGGTGGGGGCAGTGGTGGTTGTATATGTGATGGTAGTGTTGGTGGTAAAGTTGGGTGGTGGTGGTAGTGATGATGGTGGTGGTAGTGGTGGTGAAGTTGGATGGAGGTGGTGGGGGCGTTGGTGGTCGTGATCATGGTGGTCGGATGCGGGCCCAAGTCCTTGACACCAGGACCTACCGTGGAGCTGATGTGCCGTCTGTAAGATGCGCCTGCCGTTCTTCCACTCCGGTGGTGGGTGTACACCCATGACCCCATTCAAACCCACAGTGGCATGGTCTCTGCTAGCTGATGAAAGTTGCAAGCGAAAATTGCATCATCGCTTGCGGTTGGGGTTGGCATCGTCCCACCTTCCTTCTGATGTCGAGGGGAAATGGGCGAGGTTTAGGACTGTGGCTCATGCAGCTGCATTGGGTACACGGTCCAAAGCTCCCCAGAAACCCTGGCTGACAGAGGAGGTGTTCAGGCCCAGTCTCTGGATCTCTGTGGGTATCTATGGGTCTCTATGAGTATGGGTCTCTCTGGGTTTCTGTTAGTCTCTGTGGTGCTATATGAGTCTGGATCTCTGTGAGTCTCTATGGGTCTCTATGGTTCTATAGGAGTCTATGGATCTCTATGGGTCTCTATGGTTCTGTAGGAGTCTATAGGTCTCTATGGGTCTCTATGGTTCTGTAGGAGTCTATGGGTCTCTGTGGGTCTCTGGTTCTTTGCGAGTCTCTGGTACTTTGCGAGTCTCTGGTACTTTGTTGGTCTTGGTCAGTTTGGTAGTTTAGGGCTCTGTTTAAACGAGCGGATGCTAAATGCTGCCAACTCAGTCACCGACTGCCCCCCCCCCCGCGTCAATGATTAACGGGGACACGGACCTTGCTTGCCATCCCCTCCTTGTCACGGGCCGTGGACCCCTGCGGCCACGTGGCCCTCCGTGAGTGGGGGGGTCCCCTCGTTGACGCGCCCCCCTCACGGCGGGGAACAGGGCTAGCGGCACCGCCGCCCCCACCGCTGCGAACAGTCCAGAGCGTCTAGAGGCCAGCCGCACACAGCACTAAGCACAGAAGGGTGCGGGTTGGTTGGCCGGGTGTTGTGTGTGTGTGTTGGGTGTGTGTGTGTGTTGGGCAAGTATATGTGTGTTTTGGGTGTGTGTGTGTTGGGTGTGTGTGTGTTGAGCGTGTGTTTGTGTATGTATTGTGGGTGTGTGTGTGTGTTGGGTGTGTGTGTGTGTTGGGCGTGTTTTTGTGTGTGTTGGGCGAGTGTGTGTGTGTGTTGGGTGTGTGTGTGTGTTGGGCGTGTTTTTGTGTGTGTTGGGCGAGTGTGTGTGTGTTTTGGGTATGTGTGTGTGTTGGGCGTGTGTTTGTGTGTGTATTGTGGGCATGTGTGTGTTGGGCGTGTTTGTGTTGGGGATGTGTGTGTGTGTTGAGTGTGTGTGTGTGTGAGATACGTGCCGGTCTTAGCGGTGGTTGAACACAGTGGTGGTGGTGGTGGTTGTTTAACATAGTGTGGTGGTGGTCCACATTTCACAAGCCCGCATGCCCAGCCACCGCATGCCCAAGCAGTTTCTATTTAGTCGCATAGAGAGGGCTAGAAATGGGCTAGAGAAGAGATGGAGTGATGTGGTACAGGAGGACGTGGAGCTCAGTGGACTTGCCGATGACTGGTACCAGCGGTGTCAAGATCGGCCTCGGTGGAGGAGGCTCGTGAAGGACGCTACTGGGCAGTTGGAGGCAGTCGCCCTCCAGCAACAACGCAGGGCGGAGGAGCGACGCTCACAACAACGAGCTGGAGCTCCGGGCGGATAAAATGTAGCAAATTGGCACAGTGGGGAGGCACAGCTGGTGCATCGGTCATCTCAGTGAGCCAACCCGTGGCACTTGCTGGGTCTGTCCCGAGGCCTCCTGTCGGTGAGCCTTGGACACTTCACGTGGCCTCAAAGTGCACCTGGCCTGGCACAAGCGCCGTGGTGTTGTGCAGATGCCACCACCGCCATCTATTGCGGTTGAACTCATGACTCGGTCTGAACAGGCAACTGGACTTATGGACAGGTTTGTTCGTATCTCTGAAAGTTCACAAGTCGAATGTTGGTGAGTCGAGTAGTCTCTGTAATTGGACATTATAGCAGCAAAATAATCTAAATAATTTCACTACCCCTCCCCTCCCTCCCATCCCTCCCCACCCCCCTCCCTCTCCCTCCCTCTCCCTCCATCCCCCTCCCATCCCCCTCCCACCCCCCTCCCATCCCCCTCCCTCCCATCCCATCCCACTCCATCCCCCTCCCACCCCTCTCCCTCCCTCCCTCTCCCCCCCTCCCCCCTCCCCCCACCCAGGCCCGGGGTCTGGCCTCCCCGCTGCGTCTCCCCTCCGGCGTCCCCCACTGCCTGTGCCTGGGCCCTGCGGCCCTCTCCCTGGTGGCGGTGGCGGCCACGACCCGCGGCCCCACGCCGGCGCCGCCGCCGCCGCCGCCGGGCCCCCGCGTCGTCCTCCCCCTGGGCCGCCTGCTGCTGTGCTGCGGCCGCTCGGGGGCCCTCGTGGGCCTGCGGGTGGCCGGCGACCCCCCCGGCGAGCTGTGGCTGGACGCCCGCGACGAGGCCTGCGCCGAGAGCCTCCGCGGCGCGCTGGCCCGGGCCCTCGGCCGCCCCCGCGGCCTTCCCGGGGACGAGGACCCGGCCCTCCGCCCGCGTAGCCACAGCCACTCCATCCTGCTCCCTTCCCCGCCGTCTCGCCCCTCCTCCTCCTCCCCCTCCTCGTCGTCGTCTTCGTCGGTCAAGCCCCCCGGGAGCCCCTCGCTCGGCCGCCTTCCGGGCCTAGGCTGGGTGTCGCCGCTGTTCCGCATCCGCGCCTCCAGCGAGGGAGACAAGACGATGCCGCAACGGTTCCGGCGTGGTGCCGGCGCCGGCGGCGGCGGCGGTGCCGCAGCGAGCCCCACTGGAATCCTGCGCTCGCTGTCTCTGCAGCGGGCGGCCAGGCACGCCGCCAGCAGACTCGGCTTGCAGCAGCAGCAGCAGCAGCAGAAGCAGCAGCAGAAGCAGCAGCAGCAGCAGCAGCAAAGTGGCGGCAAGGCAGCAGCGGCAGCATCGGCGGTGACGCTGAAGATTCCGTCATCGTCGGCGGCGGCGTCCCACAATCCCACGCTGACCTACACCTTCTCGTCCTGTTCGTCAGCTTCCTCCTCCTCCCCCTCCTGCTCCTCTTCGGACGACGGCGGCGGCGGTGAGAAGGAGGAGAAGCTTGTGGTGAAGCGGAGGGTTCGTGACGGTGGTGGCGGTGGTGGCGGTGGTGGCGGTGGTTGCCTCGTGCTCAGCCGGTCTGCGCCGAACAGCGCCTGCGGTTTCAGACGTCCCACGGACAAATCCTTCCGCAAGCGAAGCTGTTCGGGCGTTGCCTCCTCCTCCTCATCCTCATCCTCCTCTGCCGCCACCGCTGCTGCTGCTGCTGCCGCATCGTCATCATCATCAGCGGCACTTCTATCGCCGTCGTCGGCGGCGGCGGTGGCAAACGGAGGTCCGGTGGGACGTGATGGCGGGTGGAGGAGGTGCGCTAGTGCGGCGTACCCAGAGGATTACGGTGAACTGGACCTGAGCGGCGGACGTGGTGGAGGAGGTGGTGGTGGTGGAGGTGGTGGAGGAGGTGGTGGTGGTGGAGGAGGTGGTGGTGGTGGTGGAGGAGGTGGTGGAGGTGGAGGAGGTGGTGGACATGGAGGTGGTGGTGGTGGAGGAGGTGGTGGAGGAGGTGGTGGGGGAAGAGGAGCAGCTGACTACATGCCCATGAATCCGTCGGCCAGGAAGGTAAAACGGCTCACCTATTTTATATTCTACACCCCGTGTAAGGCCCCACACACCCTGGCTATTACAAATGACAGGTGATCGGCGGCTTGTGATCATCATCATCATCGTCACGTGAAAAAATACGCACGACTGTCGATTGTAAATGTGGAGGGGGAAAAATTCGGAGCACCCGGACTCCACGGGAGAGAGAAAGAGAGACACGCAAACTTAAAATATATAAAATATGTAAATATATAGCAGGCATAGTTAGGTTCGGGATCGAATCCACGACCTCCTGCCTACCAGGCGAGGTAGTTAACATATCCTAGCCACCGTGGTGATGATGAGAGAGAGAGACGCAAACTCCAAATATACAGCAGGAGTCAGGGTCGGGATGGAACCCACGATCTCCTGTATACCAGGCGAGGTAGTTAACATCTCCTAGTCACCGTGGTAATGATGATGATGATGGCGTGAGAGAGAGAGAGACACGCAAACTCCAAATATACAGCAGGGCTCGGGATCGAACCCATGACCTCCTGTACACTAGGCGAGGTAATTGACATCTCATAGCCACCGTGATGATGATGAGAGAGAGACACACACAAACTCCAAATATACAGCAGCAGGCATTGTCAGGGTTGGGATCGAACCCACGACCTCCTGTCCACCAGGCGAGGTAGTCAACATCTCCTAGCCACCGTGATGATGATGACGAGAGAGAGAGAGACACGCAAACTCCAAATATACAGCAGGGCTCGGGATCGAACCCACGACCTCCTGCACACCAGGCGAGGTAGTCAACATCTCATAGCCACCGTGATGATGATGATGAGGTAGTCAACATCTCATAGCTACCGTGATGATGATGATGATGAGGTAGTCAACATCTCATAGCCACCGTGATGATGATGATGAGGTAGTCAACATCTCATAGCTACCGTGATGATGATGATGATGAGGTAGTCAACATCTCATAGCCACCGTGATGATGATGATGAGGTAGTCAACATCTCATAGCTACCGTGATGATGATGATGATGAGGTAGTCAACATCTCATAGCCACCGTGATGATGATGATGAGGTAGTCAACATCTCATAGCTACCGTGATGATGATGATGATGAGGTAGTCAACATCTCATAGCCACCGTGATGATGATGATGATGAGGTAGTCAACATCTCATAGCTACCGTGATGATGATGATGATGAGGTAGTCAACATCTCCCAGCCACCGTGATGATGATGATGATGACGTGAGAGAGAGAGAGACACGCAAACTCCAAATATAAAGCAGGGGTTGGGATCGAACCCACGACCTCCTGCACACCAGGCGAGGTAGTCAACATCTCCCAGCCCCTGTGAGTTGACGATTGAGGCCCCCTCCCGGCCGTCCACAGATCCCCGGTTGTCCGCCGTGGTGGCTGTGAGTGCCATGGGAGGGGGTGGGGGGCTGGACAGCCGACTGCAATCGGCTTTCCCCCACCAATGGGGATGGCGCACAGCCACCACGGTGTTGTTACGTTACCGTAGTGTGCCGCAGTGTTAACCGCAGTGTAGCCGCGGCGTTACCGCAGTGATAACCACAATTATACCAGAGTGTGACCACGGCGTTACCGCAGTGTTAACCGCAGTGTAGCCGCGGCGTTACCGCAGCGATAACCACAACAATACCAGTGAGTAACCACGGCGTTACCACAGTGTTAACCGCAGTGTAGCCGCAGTGATAACCACAACAATACCAGTGAGTAACCACGGCGTCACCGCAGTGTTAACCGCAGTGTAGCTGCAGCGTTACCGCAGCGATAACCACAATTATACCAGTGTGTAACCTCCTTCCCTCCGTCACTCCGTCACTCCCCACCTCCCCTCCGCTACCCTCCCCTCCGCTCCCCTCCCTCCCGCAGGAGGAGCCCACACAGGGGGGCTACATGCTCATGTCCCCCACCGCCCCTCGCCAGGAAGACGGCTACGTCCCCATGCAGTTCGCTCCTCGCCCCAGCGCGCAACAGAAGCAGCAGCAGCATCAGCACCACCAGAAGCAGCATCAGCACCAGCACCACCACCAGCAGCACCACCACCACCATCAGCAACAGCAGCAGCAGCAGATGGTAGCGACGAATCCTGACGCCGATGACTCCAAGGGGGGCGGCAAGATGGCCGCCACGCCGGCAGCGTCCGTGGGGGGTGGCGGCAAGATGGATGCCGCCACCATGTCGTCGAAGCCGGGTGCGGCCGCCTCAACCGCGACGGCGGGCGGTGACAGTGACGGCGGCGGTGATGGCGGCGGTGACGGCGGCGGTGACGGCGTCACCGCCGTGGCTTCCGTCGTCTGGAAGGGGGGCGGCAATATGGCCGACACCAGCATGGCGTCGAAGGCGAGCGGTGGCGGCGTGGCCGCCTCAACCGCGACAGGGGGCGGCGGCGGCGGCGGCGACGTCACCGTCACCGCCACCGTCACCGCCGTGGCTTCCGTCGTCCGGAAGGGGGGCGGCAACATGGCCGCTAGCGGGGAACCGGTGCGGCTGAGGCTCGGCGACGGCTCGCGCGGCTCCACGGGCGACTACGTGCCGATGAGGGCCGTGCCGGGCGACGGCGCCGGCAGCTACGAGGTCATGAGCTTTCCCGGGACCCGGTCCGGGAATGTGGAGTTGGCGGCGGGGGCTCCTGCGGCGAGATTCGGAGTCGATCCCGACGAGGGTGCGAAGGTCGTGCGTGTCGGAGAACAGGTGAGGAGGGTGGGCGGCTGGGTGTGTGTGGGTGTGGGTGTGTGGGCGGGTGTGGGTGTGGGTGGGTGGGTGTGGGTGGGTGTGTGTGGGTGGGTGTGGGTGTGTGGGCGGGTGTGGGCGGGTGTGGGTGTGTGGGTGTGGGTGGGTGTGGGTGGGTGGGTGTGGGTGGGTGTGGGTGGGTGGGCGGGTGGGTGTGGGTGGGTGGGGGTGGGTGGGTGGGCGGGTGGGTGTGGGTGGGTGGGGGTGGGTGGGTGGGTGTGGGTGGGTGTGGGTGGGTGTGTGTGGGTGTGGGTGTGTGGGCGGGTGTGTGTGGGTGTGGGTGGGTGTGGGTGGGTGTGGGTGGGTGTGGGTGGGTGTGTGGGTGTGGGTGGGTGTGGGTGGGTGTGGGCGGGTGTGGGTGGGTGTGGGCGGGTGTGGGTGTGTGGGTGTGGGTGGGTGTGGGTGGGTGGGTGTGGGTGGGTGTGGGTGGGTGGGTGGGTGGGCGGGTGGGTGTGGGTGGGTGGGGGTGAGTGGGTGGGGGTGGGTGGGTGGGGGTGGGTGTGGGTGGGTGTGGGTGTGTGGGCGGGTGTGTGGGTGTGGGTGGGTGTGGGTGGGTGTGGGTGGGTGTGGGCGGGTGTGGGTGGGTGTGGGCGGGTGTGTGGGTGGGTGGGTGTCCGGCAAATAACAACCTCTCACCTCCTCGGCTGTGCCGGACGCTGCTTTATTGACCTGGTCAAGGCCTATGATACCATCAACAGGCCTGGGCTCTGGGTTATTCTTCGTGCTTTCGGAGTCCCTGACTCTCTGCTCATGATCATTAAGGACCTTCATGATGGTGAGCGGGCTCGGGTAAAACTACATGGCCGGGAGTTGGAGCCAGAGCCATTCTCTGTTCACCTTGGGGTGCAACAGGGATGTCCTCTGGCTCCCATATTATTGCGACCACGTAGTTCGTGAAGGCCTTCGATGGCTGTACCGGGGGAATTTCCATCTGGTACAGATACAATGGGAGGGTGATCGATGCCCGGTCAAGGGATGACTCCCTTATGGGTCAACCATGTTATGTATGCCGATGATCTGGTGATTGCTGCTCACTCAGAGGAGGAGTTGGAGGCACTGCTGCTGAACCTGGAGCGTGCCACTAAGAGGTGGAGTCTTGCCATCAACCCCGCAAAACTAAGCACCTGCCTGGGTATTTTGTACCATCGGACACTCCACCCCCACAACTCCCAATTGGTGATGGGGCAGTTATGGAGAGAGTGGAGAGTTTCCATACCTGGGCAGTGTGCTCATGACCGGCTCCGGTTTGACAGCAGAGGTCTCACTTTGAATCTTTTCATCGGCCGCGTAACGCTGTGTGGAAGCTGCCTGGTATTTTCGGCCACGGTCATGCCCTCCCTTCTCTACGCTAGCGAAACGTGGACCCCCCTAATGGAGCATCTTCACCAGTTAGAAACATTTAGGCTGGCGTGCCTACGATCCATCCTGGGTTTAACCTGCAGGCTGGATTGTGTGAGGAGCTCACAAATCCTTGAAAGATCTGGACACAGTCCCATTGGTGAGACAAAGGCGGCCGGGCGTGGCGCGCCACAGTGCCGGCCTTCATAGGCGCTGCTGCTGCTGCTAACAGCTCTTGCCCCACCAGTCTGCCGAGGCTGTACGGGGGACCTTTTTCTCCGTTCCGAGGTGTGAGGCGGGCGGCGTTGGCAGGGCGGTCACCGCTACTCAGCGGCACCACTTGCCCAGCGGCGCGCCGAGGCGACGTGGGAAGCCGCCATCTTCATTCTCGTCTCAACTCCTTCTCTTGCCAGGTGCGGCGAAGACGCAGCTCCGAGACTTTCCCTCCCCACGTCACCGTGACCCCGGCCGCGACCCCGGCCGTGACCCCGGCCGTGACCCCGGCCGCGACCCCGGCCGTGACCCCGGCCGCAGACCCTGGGGGTGAGCCCCAGGCCGGGACTCGGGGAGACGCGGAGGAGACGGCAGCGGCCGCTGCTCTGCTCGTCGCCACGGAGACGTAGAGGGGGGGACGCGCGGGGACACGCGGGGGACGCGGGGACACGGGGGGAGGGAGACACGGGAGACGCGGGGACGAGGGGAGGGAGACACGGGGGGAGGGGGACGAGGGAGACGCGGGGACGAGGGGAGGGAGACACGGGGGGAGGGGGACGAGGGAGACGCGGGGACGAGGGGACGAGGGGAGGGAGACACGGGGGACATGGGAGATGCGGGGAGGGAGACACGGGGTCTGAGGGTCCGTGTCTAGAGTGGAGACCGGGTCTCTCTCTCTCTGTCCCCCCCCCCCCCCCTTCGTGAGTGAGTGATGGCGAGGATTTTGATCCCCGGGTTCTAAGTTTTTTTTTTATCCCAGTGTCTCACTAGCAGTGTCTCACCACCAGTATCTCTCTACCCAGTGTCTCACTAGCAGTGTCTCACCACCAGTATCTCTCTACCCAGTGTCTCACTAGCAGTGTCTCACCACCAGTATCTCTCTACCCAGTGTCTCACTACCCAGTGTCTCACCACCAGTATCTCTCTACCCAGTGTCTCTCTACCCAGTGTCTCACCACCCAGGGTCTCTCTACCCAGTGTCTCACTACCCAGTGTCTCACTAGCAGTGTCTCTCTACCCAGTGTCTCTCTACCCAGTGTCTCACCACCCAGTGTCTCTCTACCCAGTGTCTCACTACCCAGTGTCTCACCACCAGTATCTCTCTACCCAGTGTCTCACTACCCAGTGTCTCACTACCCAGTGTCTCACTACCCAGTGTCTCACTACCCAGTGTCTCACCACCCAGTGTCTCACCACCCAGTGTCTCACCGCCCAGTGTCTCACTACCCAGTGTCTCACCACCCAGTGTCTCACCACCCAGTGTCTCACCGCCCAGTGTCTCACCGCCCAGTGTCTCACTACCCAGTGTCTCACTACCCAGTGTCTCACCACCCAGTGTCTCACCACCCAGGGTCTCTCTACCCAGTGTCTCACCACCCAGTGTCTCACTAGCAGTGTCTCACTATCCAGTATCTCACCACCCAGTGTCTCACCACCCAGTGTCTTACTACCCAGTGTCTCACTACCCAGTGTCCCACCACCCAGTGTCTTACTACCCAGTGTCTCACTACCCAGTGTCCCACCACCCAGTGTCTTACTACCCAGTGTCTTACTACCCAGTGTCTCACCACCCAGTGTCTCACCACCCAGTGTCTTACTACCCAGTGTCTCACTACCCAGTGTCCCACCACCCAGTGTCTCACCACCCAGTGTCTGTAAACCACAGATGACAACGCCAAAAGGCGAATCGCGGTTACGAACTATTCTTCATTTGATTATACTCATCATTTTGGATCCCGCCAAAAAGTGGCGCATTTACATTGTACGCGATCCTACCCCAAAGCACCATTCTGGGACTTTTGTTACGGATAATATTGATCGCGAGAGGCCTTAACTGCTGCGTGTTTAAACTACTATTGCGACGATTATCGCTACGGTACGGTGGCTTTATTTGTATCCACACACTGCTGCTGCTGCTGCAACTGCACACAGCCCGCTTTGCCAGTCCACTGCTGGATGAACGGCTGCACCTAGGCCCCCCAATCCCCCTACCATCCGCCCCCCACCCCACCGGTTTGACCATACTTCACCACGCTGGTCACAAGAAATCAAAGACAAAGATCCCCTGTATGGCCTTAACAGACTGCAGGGGCAAGTGCTGTTAGCGAGTAGCAGCAGCTATGAAGGCTGGTACTGTGACACACGAGGGGGTGGGTGGCCAGCACCACGCCCAGTTGCCTTTGTATCCCCAGTGGCTTTGTTTACACACTGCACCAGGTACTTATTTGAGGCTGAGTCGACCTAGGGGAGGCCCAGGACCGGTTCAGATAATTGTCACCGGTGTTGGCCGTGAGCGGGAACCGAACTCGGGTCGCCGGGTTCGTAGCGCAGCGTAGCGCTAACCACTACACTGCCGTTCCCTACACACACAGACACACACAGACACACACAGACACACACAGACACACACAGACACAGACAGACACAAACACACAAACACACACAGACACACGCAGACACACGCAAACACACGCAGACACACGCAGACACACGTAGACACACGCAGACACGCGCAGACACACGCAGACACGCAGACACACACAGACACACACAGACACCTGCTGGGTCTGCCCCGTGACCTCCCGCCAGCGGGCGTTCGACATTTCACGTGGCCTTATAGTGCACCTAGCATGGCACAGGCGCCGCGATGACGTCACCACTACTTATGGCGGTGTGCTAACCGCTGTGTGTGATTCTGTGTGTGTCGGTGTGTGTCTGTGTGTGTGTCTGTCTTGTGTGTGTCTGTGTGTGTGTCTGTGTGTGTGTGTGTGTCTGTGTGTGTGTCTGTGTGTGTGTCTGTGTGTATGTGTGTGTCTGTGTGTATGTGTGTGTCTGTGTGTGTCTGTGTGTGTGTCTGTTTGTGTGTGTGTCTGTGTGTGATTCTGTGTGTGTGGTGGTGCAACAGTGTGCTAACCGCTGTGTGTGTGTCTGTGTGTGTCTGTGTGTGTGTCTGTGTGTGTGTGTGTCTGTGTGTGTCAGTGTGTGTGTCTGCGTGTGTGTGTGTCTGTGTGTGTCGGTGTGTGTGTCTGTGAGTAGACATCTCCCGGTTGATGTCTTTCCCCCGTGCCTTTCTTTCCCACGAATGTTAAGATTTTTTGTGTCCCCCTCTCGACGGAGCGGAATCTCCGAAAGCTGCTCGGATCTCGTTGGCCCACAAGCGGCCGGGTGGGAAATTTAATTTTCATTTTCGTTTCGCCATCGCCGAGATTGACGGCGTGCGCACGCTCGCACCGAACCCACGAATCGAGGGGTTCGTGTCGGGCGCCGATCGCGTGAAGTGTGACACGGCCCAGTCGGTTTGGCGGCTCTGTTGACACGTCAACAAAACACGTGGTGCAAACTCGTTACTGGTACAGCACTAACCGGTTGTGTGTTGGAGAGTTACACCACCACACATAGACCCACAGACTCACCACCACCAAACAGAAACCCACAGACTCACCACCACCACACAGAGACTCACAGACTCACCATACACCACACAGAGATCCCCACAGACTCACCACCACCACACAGAGACCCACAGACTCACCACCACCACCACACAGAGACCCACAGACTCACCACCACCACACAGAGACTCACAGACTCACACAGAGACCCACAGACTCATCACCACACAGAGACCCACAGACTCACCACACAGAGACCCACAGACTCACCACACAGAGACCCACAGGCTCACCACACAGAGACCCACAGACTCATCACCACACAGAGACCCACAAACTCATCACACAGAGACCCACAGACTCACCACACAGAGACCCACAGACTCACCCACGCAGAGACCCACAGACTCACCACCACCACACAGAGACCCACAGACTCACCACACAGAGAACCACAGACTCGCCACACAGAGACCCACAGACTCACCACACAGAGACCCACAGACTCACCACACAGAGACCCACAGACTCACCACACAGAGACCCACAGACTCACCACCACACAGAGACCCACAGACTCACCCCACAGATACCCACAGACTCACCATCACCACACAGACCCACAGACTCACCACCACCACACAGAGACCCACAGACTCACCACCACCACCACACAGAGACCCACAGACTCACCACACAGAGACCCACAGACTCACCACCACCACACAGACACAGACTCACCACCACCACACAGAGACACACAGACTCACCACCACCACCTACACAGAGTGTGGAGCTCCTCCCAATTGGTCGACGCGAGTGGACGCCCTTTGCACATCGTGAGCTTATTTAATGCAAATCTAATAAATAATTAAACATTATTATGAGAGTTGGTGGTGTTGTTGTGATGATGGTGATGCGACTTGCTTCACCCTCGGGTGATCGTCCTGGTCCACAGGAGGCCGTGGGTTCGATCCCGACCCTGACGACGCCTGCTGCTACTGCTGCTGTGGATTTGCGTTTAGTTTGGGGTCTCTACGGGACCCCACCCCTCAAAACGCCCCCCCCCCCCCAAACCTCCCTCAAATTGTGCCCCCCCCCCGCCTTCCTTAACCCCCTCCCCCCAAAACGCCACCCCCCCCCCCCCGCCCCCCCCCCCCCTTCGCAAACCCCCCCACCAAAATATCCCGCCCAAATCGCCCCCCCCCTCCTCAATCCCCTCCTCCAAATGCCCCCCCCAAAATCGCGCCCCTTGTGATGTGAGTGGGTGAGTGGGTGGCGTGAGTTGAGTGAGTGGGTGAGTGGGTGAGTGAGTGAGTGGGGTGTGGGTGGTGTGAGTGGTGAGTGAGTGGGTGGGGGGTGAGTGGATGGCTGGTTGGGTGAGTGAGTGGGTGAGTGAGTGAGTGGGTGTGTGGGTGGGTGAGTGGCTGGGTAAGTGGTGGAGGGAGTGAGTGAGTGGGTGAGTGAGTGGGTGAGTGAGGGTGGGGGAGTGAGTGGATGGCTGGGTGAGTGCATGGGTGAGTGAGGGAATGGGTGGGTGAGTGGCGGGGTGGGTGAGGGGGGGTGGGGGGGGAGTGGGATGGCTGGGGGAGTGAGTGGTGCTGGGTGAGATGAGTGGGGGGTGGGGGAGGAGTGGTGGGGTGAGTGAGTGGGTGGTGGG